TCTCAAGGGTAGAGATTAAAAGTTTCTTAGTGAGAAATGGATTTTCAACTAAACAACATCTTCACCAAGAATAAGCACTCTTTACAGAATATTTCACAGGAAAAAGTAATACCTAAAATCTATGGTTCAACAATTCCTTGAGATTCAAAGTGGTACCTCTGTGCCTGAAAGGAGCAGTGCTTCAGATATATACGGGACTTCAATTCTCATCTTCTTTCTGCACCCTTTTGGAAGGGCTTTACATCCCTCTGTGAGGCATCAATTGTAAAATGAACCCTGTTATTGACAACCAAGAAGAAAGCAAATGTTCTCACCATAGGGGATCTTACCCAGCAGACTAACTCATGCTAGAAAATATGGAATCACAGCATTTCAGCTCCAAGCAGTGACATTTTGAAGTGCAGCCAGTTAAGCAAAGAATCACAATCTTAAATTTTTGTGGAAATTATTCAATTTTCTAACAGAATTTTTTCAGCAACCATAAAGAAAGAAGAGACTTGGGATGAAAAGAAACTGGAAATTTAAAAAGTCAAGAGAAATGTTTCTACTAAAATAGAAGAGATTTTTTCCCTTAGTGTTTTGGAAGAAATAAACACTTTTAATTCCCAGACCACTGTGAAAATCTGCCTCTAGTAAAATGTAACTAACACCCAAAACAGAGCTTTAAATTAAAGGTCAGCAGGGAGCTTAGATCTCAGCCCAGCAGAGAGTAAGCGGCTTTTTGTCATATCCCCAAAGAAAACAGGCTACAGGGTAGAAAAGCCAAAGCTAAGCATTTTGCTAATTTCAGCTTTTCAGAGCACTCAAACATCTGCTTTTTTAAATCCCATTCATCTGTAAGGAAGGGTTACTGCTAAACAAATATAAAAATTTCTCCATTCTGAAGTTTACCACAAGTTACCTGCTTGTTGCAAGCTGTTTGGCAACCTGACAAAGCAGATGCTTCACATGAGGTCTTTCTCTCAGGCCAACAGCTGGGTGGGCAGGTACACTGAAGGGGAAGATGTGCCCCAGAATACACTCTGCCCACTGGAGCACCTTCATGGGTGTACCTATCATGGGTTTGGAAGTGTCAACACTGCAGGCACTTGGCTTCTCACCAGAGCCCAAAACAGGAGCTCTCAGAAAGCCAGTCCCCAGGACTTCAGAGCTGTCTGACTGCTAAGGGCAAAGATCACCTGGAATTTCACAGCAGTAAGGAGAGCTCAATGCAGGATTTCCTGATCCAAACACAAGTGCCTGTTGTGCAAGCGAGAGGAGAAACAGCCCAGCCACCTGCAGGAGAGCAGATCCGAGTCTGGCAGCTTCAGCTCCCAGCAGCAGAGGCTTTCCATACACTTGCAAAGCCTTGTGAAACCCTGAACTTGTTACTGCTTAGGGGAAGGGAACTAGCAGTGTGACAGCTCCAGGGAAAATGAAGCAGTCCTGGCTCACTGCAGGGAGTGTTTTGGCTGCCATGCAGCCAGAGTCTGCACATTCACAGTGGGCTGCAGAATGTGTGGCAGCTCCCTTATGTCAGCACCCAAAGGGGTGTCAGATCACCAAGCTGGCCCTGACCACTTGGAAGGACACCTCTCAGGTATCACAGATGGGAAAAAGAATTCCCAGCAGCTTCCTTTGGTATGTGCATGGTGTTATATTGATTTAATATAGCTGCAAATGTCAAATTGCACAAGGGCAAAGTGCATTTTCCCAGAACCTTCTGTGATTTCAAGGAAATGCACACACCCTGTCCCAGCTCCAAGAGCAGCCATCAGCAGGTTCGGGAGCACCTGGAGCAGGCAGGAGCTCTGGGAGCCAGATCTGCACCACAGCCAAAGCCAATTCTGCTCAGTCTTTGCCCTCTGCCTTGGTTAACTCTGTGCATGAGGAGGGTGGGGTGGATATCACCCAGCAGCAACTTGTAAAAGCCAGAAACAGCTACAGACTAAATCTGACCTCCAAGAAATAAAGCACAAGTTGCCAAAAAAATTAAAATATGCCCACCAAAGTTTTTCAAAAAGAGAAATCAGAAACAAAAGGCTTTTCTTTTCAAAGCAGAAAGCAAAATGCCAGCTTTTATATCCCTGTGCCTCATAATTGAGCCCAGGGTTATGCCACAATTCAGGTAAATGATGTTTATATAACTGGCGTTTGGCTGAACACAATTCCTATTTAACAGCTGAAAAGAGGCATTTTGGGTCTTCAAAGAAATCTGACAGGTAATTCCCACTGTAGTTCTGCAGGGTAGCTGAGCAGTAATTATCCTTCTCACTAGTAAATCAATTAGGAACGAATGTATGGAAAGCTTTTCTCCTCCTCCAAGTAAGCGCTAATCCTCTGAGCGCTAATGAGCAGACAGGGCCAGCAGCAATGCGCAAACCCATCAGAAATCCACAGGAGCTCCAGGCAGGCAGGCTCCAGCCAGTGCCTGGGAGTGAGTGCCTCAGGAGAAACACCTTGCCTGGAGAGGAACTGGACACCTGCAGACCTTTCCTGGAGAGGAACTGGTGATTTGCAGACCTTTCCTGGAGAGGTCTGCATGGCTCATGAGTGACACTGGCTCCTTGCATGTGAGTTAGCGCTGGTCCGTCCCTGCCACTCACTGCCTCAAGCAAAGACCTCTCCTGCAGCTCACAAGAGATCCCTGCATCATGCTCAACAAGGCAGCACTTCTGCTGCTGGAGGTGAACTATAAAGGACCTGGGCTCTTCCTGCTAGGACCCACCTATTGCTTTGGGATTCAGTACTGGCAGCTGTCCTCAGGAGCTCAGCAAAACCATTCTGCTTACTCCCCTGTCACAGACATCTTTTATGAAAAATCCTTTCCTTAGGATTTTTCCTCCTGAGAAGCTGAGAGGCCTCAGGAACAAAATGTAAACAATGATTATCTGCTGCTGTGGAATGCAACAGGTGAATCTGTGATTGGTCTCATTCCATTCCTTTTTCTAGTCTTAGCTAGCCTTCGGAGGAAATCCTTTCTTCTATTCTTTAAGTATAGTTTTAATATAATATATATCATAAAATAATAAATCAAGCCTTCTGAAACATGGAGTCAGATCCTTTTCTCTTCCCTCATCCTCGGACCCTTGTGAACACCGTCACACTCCCCATGCCACAGGAACAATATTCACCCAGAGAGACTGGGAGAAGACTACAACCCTAGTGCATTGTTTGCAGTGCATAACCTCAAGAATCTGTAAGAGGAGTGAGGGGACAATAAACCCAAAGCTGAATTTGACAAATTTCAGATGTTCTGGTCCAGTGAGACCTTGTTCAGACATTTCTCAAGTGCTACATGAATGTCTGGAACTGCTTTGATGGTTAACAAAGCAGAGTTCAGACAGACCAGCTGTTTAAGCATGCACAGTAACAGTGCTTATATATTTAGAAGAGGTAGAAAGAATGGAAGCAAGCAGCAGCCAGCACTGACAGCTGGTTTCCTTTGAGTTTTCCTTATAGCTTGTCTCTACATTTCAAAAGATTTTTCAGAAGGGATAAGAAGGGCACAGATAGGCTCAAAAATCATTTCCTAGAGACAGAAAACCAAAAAAATTCTTTTAAATTTCTAATCTCAAATAAGTAAACAGCAGGTAAAGATAGGCCTGTATGCCACTATATGATGAAATGTAGGTGTTTTAATAAAAAAAAAAAAAAAAAAAAAAAGACTGCTAATCTGTAAAGCTCAGTAGCCTGAGAAATTGCTGGAAGATAATAATATATCCTTGTACTCTGATTTGTGAGGGAGTCTTTACACCAGTGACGTAGGATTTGTAACTGAGCATATTGCCTGTGCTTTTGGGTGGGCAGAGTTGCTTTGGAAACAGTATGAAAAAGAATTAACTCTTCAGTGCCCCCCACATTGGATATAGGATGCGTGTAAAGGTCAGGAAAATTCACTACAAAACACTTTAATCTGTTTTACTCAGAGGGAAAAAAAAAAAAAAAGTCAAGGTAGTTGTCATAATAGCTCAGCTCCTGCATCAGGAAAAACATAAGCCAAACTGTGGCCGCTGCATTCTTCCTCCTCCCTGTATTTACAAACAGACTTAGTAACCACAGCTATGTCTGCCCTATTGTTGTATACACTGAAACAAATATCAGTCCCAAAACATCTGTAGATTGACCAGTGATGGAAAACACAATAGCCATAATAAGAACAGTACCAGGAGCGAGTTACTAGTTTGGAAATCTTTTGATGGAGACAGGATATGGCCAGTTTGGAAGTGATCAAGCCAAACATGCTGCACTGGGCCCCTACACTGGCCAAGCACCACTTCACTGTCAGCAATTAGCTTCGTGCTGCAGCCCTCCCACACTGATTTCTGTGGGTAGCTGAAAGCATCTTTGTCCCACTAGTTCCCCTGAATCAACACAGGCAATAATTTTAAAGCAAGAAGGCACTGAGCAGCAGTTCCTGGGCTGTGCTTGTGTGAGCCAGCTGCAGCCCTAATTGCATCACGTGGGAAGAGTGAGCAGGGGGTTGGAAAGCTGTGACCTCATCTTCTCTCCTACACAGCCAAATCAAATTGTAGGGCTTCCACCCACTCTCACAGGCATATTCTGCTTTCAGCCCCCTTACATGATGCAACCAAAGAAAATGTCATTTACATCTTTACCTCCAAATGTGGGGAAAAAAGAGTCAAATGCAGAAATAAATGCCTCTTACTCAGTATTTCTAATAATGAGATATAAGGCAGGGAGATGCGTAATAGCAAAGCTGCTGTAAGCAAGAAACCCAGAAATATTTGAGTGAGCTCTTTAAAGTTGTAACAGTCAGAAGCAAATAAAAGCAACCTTTTTACTTCTCCAGCAAATTCAGAAGGGAATTAAGTCCTTCATCATCATCACAAATAAAGCAGGATCAGTTCTGTGGGATTCCATGGAATTGCACCAGTGCAACTTAGACAGCAAATTCAAGCACTTGTGAATTGCCAACAGAGTTCACTTCAGGATCATAATTCCTCTCAGAATGCTGTCATTTTGTTTCTATAGCTACCAGTGCAATGGCTCTCCCTTACCTTCCTCTTGTTAGTGGGACTGACATATAGGTAGCTCAGCACAGTCTTCAGGCCTACTTTGTCATTTAGCTTTTCATAGGTAGTGCCATAGTCTGTTGACCTGGAGAAAAGAGGAGACAAAAAGAGTTTATGTGGTTATTAGAGCTCAGAGGAAGGGAATGACTGTGTGCACAGATGCTCCAAGTCACAGTTTGAGCATTATTATGCTTAAAACACAAGATTTTACGTTTCATTAAGGGTGGTCAGCAGAAAAGAGGAGTCCTTAGGGGCAGTGTCTGTCTCTGCATTCATTAATTGTACATATTTGGGGAGCTGTGGTGCTTCCATGCAGGTGGACTTTGGGGGTAGGCTCTGCCCTCATGTGCCAGTGTGGGACTGCAAATGGTATCTACACATAAAAGGACACTGATATCAGCAGCACCCTTAGTACAAATTCTCTCTTCAGACAAATCCAACATAAGAATCCAAATTAAACCCCACAACAACAGGTTTTTTTTAGGTAGGTTGATTTTTGACTTGAAGATGAGGATCCAAATGTGGCTCAGAATTGTAACAGCTGAACTCATGTCTAGATAAAAATGTGCCTAAACTGGCATCTTGAGTCCTCAGTCACCCCCATCCTACTTTGTGCCAGGCATTTAATTTTTCTGAGTTACAGAGACAGATTCAGGCCCCTACACCAGTAAATCCCACCCAGAGGAGCAGATGATCTGGGGGTGGCATTACCCATTCGTGACTGGGGAAAAGGGCTGCTTCGTCACAGAGGGTTTTCTGTGGTGTCCTCCTCCTCGTTTGTGGGCATGCTTGAAACCTCACTGCCCTGCTTGTTTCTCTACTGCTTTCATACTTTGTTTTCCTAACAAACAAGATCTTTCCTACCAGAACAACCCAACAGCTGCATTGTACAGGATCCCACACCTGAAGAGTGCTCAGCACAAGCTGACTTTAGGAGAAAGAGGGGTGTCAGACCCTGCTGGAAAAGCCCTCCCAACCCATGTGGGGAGAGCCTGGCTCCCAGCCCAACCCAGCTTCTGTCATAGGGACAGAGCAAACAGCCCTCAGCAGATGGACAAAAAAAGGTACTCATTAAAAAAACCTACCTGGACATATCTACAATTTTATTAGGATGAGAATCCATGCCCCCTGCCCTCCTCTCTAATAATGCTTTTTACTGGAAAGATGATCAGAGAACATGCAGCAATTCTGCGCCTTTCTCAGTACTGATCTCCAGTAATTTGTTTTTGTAAGTTCAATAAGCCTCTAGAATTTGCAGCTTTATGGTTCTGCTTGAGACCAATCCTCTGCTCCTTTTCTGTCTGGCAGAGAAATGGCCCAAGCCACTTCTGGCATCACAATGAACTGGAGAAACTGAGCCATGCCAGAGCCTGCACCCAGCTCTGCTGCTTTCCTTGCTGCTAGTGGAGCCCAGAATGACACCAAGAGTGGCCAAAACCAGACAGCTGATTTCAGGCTTCCAAGTAGTAGGAATCATGAAGTCAAAAGCTTGCTTTGTTACTGATGTGGCTGCAACACATTTCCTTCAGTGCATCCTTCAAGGACAATTTCTAAATACCTTGTAAAGTCCTTCTTTCCTTAAGTATGTTTAACCAGCCTTTCACCTTTGAATAGTCACCAGACAAGGTGCTTCAAGTCTCAAACAACTTCCTTGTGTTTTGGTTAACACTTTAATTTAAAAATAGAGCTAATACTAGCTCCATTTGCACTTACCACTCCTGTGTACTAATGCACAGTAGTATCACCCGCTGGGCTTCACACAGGTACCCCAAAGAATATGACAATAATTCTATTTTCATAGAATTTTCCCACCCAAAGTATCTGAAGCCCTTGTTTCACAATGTATCAATATCAAACAAACAAAGAAATAATTACAGCCTTCCCTCTCCAGCCAACCTCAAAACTGAAGCAGCCTACTTAATGAAACTGAATAATCCAGGACAATTAATTCCAGTACATGAGGCCTCCTATAAATGCAAATTCAACAGGTCAGGAATCCTCAGGAAACAGTAAGCTCTAAGCAGAGGATAACAGACAGAGGCAAGCAGAGGTAATTCCTTGATCTTACCCTTCCAACAGCACTGCAGCAATGAACAAGCCACTTTTGTGACTACACATGTACCAGCCACCAGGCAGTGAAAGAGATCACTGGTTTCAATCAGCATTAAAGGAGAACACAAATAACAGTTTAATATTCTGACAGAGCTACTTTGCGTTTGTTCTCTGAGTAATTTTAAGATCTCCCAAAATGCTTTCACACTTCTGAAGATGCAGGCTGGGTGCCCTAATGACTCTTTCTAATTAAACCATTTTCACTCATTGCATTTGCCCTTTCAAAGAAGAGCTAGAAAGGAAGTAGGATCATTATTTCGTTAGCTTCTCTGAGGCTTTCTTTATTATCCTGACAGTCTCCACTGGCTTCACAGAAACATCTCAAAGGATATCACAATAATATACTGTATTTCCATAGCACTTTTTCTGGCCAAAAAATCTAAAGCTTGTGTCTTGTGCCAATCCATTCAAACTAACAAAGTCCCAAAAGCCATACTGGGAAATACTATCTCTATTCTAGAGATGAAGAAGCTGAAAGCTTGCATAGGTAATGATTTATTTTTTTTCAAAAGCAGGTATCTACAATTAGGCATTTCAGCTTCTGCAATCATATAGTGTAGGGCTCAACTCTACCACCAAATTGCCTATTTAGAAAACAAGCATAAAAAAAAAAAAAAGTTGTCCACTAATTTTAGTTACCCAAGCCTGAACATTTAAAGAGATGTGACCCACAGGTAGAACAGAAAAGAGAAAAGTTTTGAGTCAGCTTTTAATCTTAACATGAACCCTTCTCTTTACTAATTACTTCTAATTCCAAATTAACTAGCCATACATCCTTACAGTTGTTTGACAATACAAGCAGACTGGATACCATATTCTCTCCCATTCCTTTGGTCACTATTTGATCCCCTTCCAAGCACATTACTAAAGCAGTGGAGGGGAGGAAATGTTGTGGTTATATCAAAATGACAAAAGACTCAGTGATATAAAACACGGTTTCCACGAGTCACACCCAAAAATCCAGCTTTAACTTTCTTTAGGCCTTTAATAGCAAACTGATCCTCCCTACCTGAAGGAGGGATCCACTCCACTGAAGCCATCCCTGGAATCTCATCATCTTGGAAAGTTGTTTCTGCCTTCAGTCTCAGCTGATATTTGCATATTGCTTCTAACCCCACACACGTGAAACTGTATTTAACAAGGCTTTCATAAAATTTTCCTCAATACAGTGCTGGTAGCACAGAAACTCTTTCAATACAGGACTAGGAATGTTACAGTGGTTCTTCCCCTGACCTCAGCACTGGTGAGGTCACACTTCGAGTGCTGTGCCCAGTTCTGGGCCTCTCAGTCAAGAGTCATTGAGGTGCTGGAGCGAGTCCAGAGAAGGGCAGAGGAGCTGGGGAAGGGTCTGGAGCACAAGCCCTGGGAGGAGTGGCTGAGGGAGCTGGGGTTATTCAGCCTGGAGAAAAGGAGGCTCACGGGTGACCTTATCACTCTCTGCAAGTGCCTGAAAGGAGGATGTAGTGAGCTGGGGGTCAGCCTCTTCTCCCAAGTGATAGAAAAAGAGGACATGGCCTCATGCTGTGTCATGGGAAGTTCAGGCTGGACATCAGGAGGAATTTCTTCACAGAAAGGCTGATTATACACTGGAACAGACTGCCTAGGGGGATGGTGGAGCCAGCATCCCTGGAGGTGCTCTAAAAGAGGCTGGGACTTGGTGTCATGGCATAGTTGGCAAGGTGGTGTTGGGTCACAGGTTGAATGCTCTCAAAGGTCTGTTCCAACCTAATTGATTTTGTGACATGGAATGGACTCTGGTCATATATAACAATCCTGTATAAACTCAGCCCATGTGTTTTGTCCCACATTTCTGTAATAATATGGGTTTGTCCCTGTTTCTGATGATGACCTTGAGGGTCTAGGCTGCATCAGACTTTTGCTCCTCACCAAATTCTGCATATTCCATTTGGAAAAGAAAGGTTCATAATTTAGTGCTTTATTGGGATACTGCAAGTTCTCCCATAATGATATTCTGTTTTAAACAGTGGGGGGAAAAAACCATCTGCTTGATTCCATTGCCCTCCTGTGACAGGCTACGATGTGTTTAAACCATCACTGCAGCCTCCTCCAGTCTGGCAGAGCAAGGTGCAAGGGATACACCCAGGCAAAGAAACTTGTCTATACAAAACCTTGTCAAAGTCAGAGCACCACAAGCTAACAAAATCCATCTTGTTCCTCTGAATCTGAGCCTGAGCTTCTCTGTGAATCCAACAAACTGGCTGAGCCAGCAGACTTCATACTGTGGTAAGACCTTCTCAGTGACAGAGATATGAAGTAGAGGTGTGGAGAGGCAGAAAGAATGCCATGTGAATGGCTTTTGGGTTCTCCTCCTCTGTGACACTTTCCATGTCAGGGCTCTGTCAGACAGAGAAAGACAGGTTTGTTTGTTTGAAGTCTCAGCTATTCAACTATGGAGATAGGCTATAAAACATGTATCAGTCTCTCAGGAAAAAAAGAGCTGCAAATGCTGGCACTGAATGACTGGGATGAAAAATCAACCTCTTCCACCAACTCTCCTGTCAGAGGGTTTCTCGTCTGTGTGGAGAGGCAGCCATCATGCTTTTGATTTTAGATTTTCAGCCATTTTCTCAGCTTTTTCTAAAGCTGATGCATTCATCTTCAGCACAGTCCCACTACACATACCTGCAGCCCCACACTGAAAACCCTATGGAGGCACAGATCTGCTTCAATGAGCAAAAGAATATCCCAGCTCTCTGTGCACTTCAGAAAGCAACAGGAACATACCAGATTAATATTTGCTTCACTTCTGATGGTGAAGTGAACACTCACTGTCTGCGTGCAGTGTGCTTGTCTCTCCATACCCCCCAAACAACTTCTTGCTTTTACTCATTGGCCAATTTTCTCCCAGTTTGGCAGAAAAGCAAAAACCCAAGAGGAGCAAAGTTTCTACAAGTTTCATGAAAATCAAGAGCCAGCAAAAGGAGAGCAATTGTGAGGGCTCTGAGAAGAGCA